TCCCTGCTTAAGCAAGAGACCATTAAGGAATGACAGAACAACAGAGTTGGAAGAGACCTTGGAGGTCATCTAGTCCACTCTTAATCTGCCATTCTGTAATGGTCTCTTGCTTGAGTAGAGGGTTGGACTAGATGACCTCCAAGATCCCTTCTAACTCTGTTATTGTGTCATTCTGTAACCCCCTGTTCAAGCAAGAGACCATTGCAGAATGACAGATTAAGAGTTGGAAGGGTCTCTGGAGGTCTTCTAATCTAACCCCCTACTCAAGCAGAGCCTATTCAATTTTGAGACAAGTGGTGGTCCAATTTCTTCATAAAAACCTCCAGTGATGAAGCACTCACAACTTCCGGTGGCAAGCAGTTCCACTGGTCAATTGTCCTTTGCGGACGACCTTGTCTTTTTCATAGAAGTTCCAATAAAAATAACACCCAAATTAATAAAAGAAATTGAGGAATTTGGAAATGTAGCCAGCCTAAAAATTAATAAGGAAAAGACTAAAATGATAACAAAAAATATAACAGCAAAACATGTAGAGAAATTAGCAAAAGATTCAGGACTACAGGTAGTCAAAAAAGTGAAATACCTAGAGATAAATATGACAGCCAGAAGTACAACGATAAAAGAGAATAACTATGGACCTTTGGTCCAAAAAATAAAAGAAGATTTGGAAAAATGGGGAAAATTAAAATTGTCATTGTTGGGGAGAATTGCAGCAATAAAATTAAATATACTGCCAAGACTCCTTTATTTATTCCAAACAATCCCAATAAAATTAGATAAGATTTTTTTTAGCAATTTGGATAAAATAACTACAAAATTTGTGTGGGAGGGGAAAAAATCAAGAATTAAATTAAGTATATTACAAGATGACAAAACTAGAGGCAGATTTGGACTCCCAGCATGGGAAAAATATTATAAAGCCTCAAGTTTAACATGGATTAGAGAATGGGTAACCCTGGAAAATCAAAGATTATTAAATTTAGAGGGTCACAATTTAATGAAGGGATGGCATGCCTTTTTATGGAGTCCCAGAAATAAAATATTCAAACATTTTAATAACCATACTATTAGGAAATCATTAATTGACATATGGCAAAAGATAAAAAGCAAACATTTTATGAAAGTTCCCGGCTGGTTATCAACGATAGAAGCAATAACTCATCCCAATTTATTAGTAAAATAAAAACTGTTAAGATACAGAGAAATATTAGATTCACAAGGAGTATTGAAAACAAGGGAAGAACTTAATGAACAAGGAATATTAATAGACTGGTGGCCCTATTCACAAATAAAAATAAGATACAGAAAAGACCAAGAGGAGGGAGGAATAGACCCAGAACCAAACAGGTTAGATAAATTATTAGAATCCAAAGAAGGAAAACTAATTTCAAAAATTTACAAATACTTATTAGAATTTGATTTGGCAGAAGAACTGGTTAAAGGACAGATGATAGCATGGGCAAAGAACATCGGGCATAACATGCAGTTAGAAGAATGGGAGAGGGTAATGGGCAAACAATTATAGTATGACAAAATCAGTAGCAGGTAGTACAAATGGTATCTAGCTCCCTCGAGGCTAGCAAAAATGTACCCGAATGTAAATCCTGTTTGTTGGAAATATAAACAAGCTCAGGGTACTTTTTTCCATGTTTGGTGGCTTTGCCCAGAAATAAAGAAATATTGGAAAAAAATAAAAACATGGATAGTAGAAATAATAGATCAAGAAATTGAATTAGAACCTGAAGTTTTCTTATTAGGCATGATAAAAAGGAATATTAGAAAAGACATAAAATATTTAACACTACGTATAATTATGGTGGCCAGACTGGCATTAGCACAATTGTGGAAAACAGATCGTATGCCAACAGATCAGGAAGTAATTCAAAAAATTTATACATGCGCAGAAATGGATAAATTAACTCTAGAATTAAAAGACAAGGAAGACTCAAAATATTTTATAGTATGGAATAGATGGTATAAGTGGATAAACCAAAGGAAAAAAGGTAAAGATAAGAATTAGGGGAAATTCAAGCAATAAAGACTGCACCGTCAGATAGATAGAATAGGTAAATAAGTCACTGTTTGTATATATGTGTTTATATAATCACATGTATTTAGTTTGTTAGTGTAATTGTGGATTGAAAATGTAATTTTATGATTGAGAAAATTTGTATATTTTCTCTTTTTTTAAAATATTTTTAAATTTAATAAAGTTTGTTTTTTAAAATTAAAAAAAAAAAGAGAGAAGTGGCGGTCCAATTTCTTCATAAAAACCTCCAGTGATGAAGCACTCACAACTTCCGGTAGCAAGCAGTTCCACTGGTCAATTGTCCTCATTGTGAGGAAGTATCTCCTTAATCCCCAGTAGCTTCTCTCCTTGGTTAGTTTCCATCCATTGTTTCTTATTCTGCCTTCTGGTGCTTTGGAAAACAAGTAGACCCCCTCCTCTTTGGGGCAGCCCCTCAAACATTGGAAGGCTGCTATCACGTCCACCCTAGTCCTTCTTTTCTCTAGACTGGCCAAACCCAAATCCTGCAACGGTTCTTCGAAGGTCTTCTTAGTTGCTCTTCTCTGCACTTTTTCCAAAGTTTCAAGATCTTTTTTGAAATGTGGTGACCAAAACTGGATGCAGCATTCCAGGTGTGGTCTTACTAAGGCTTTACAAAGCGGTACTAATCCTTCCCGTGATTTTGATTCTATGCCTCTGTTTATACAACCGAGGACTGTGTGTAAGCTTTTCCGGCTGCTGCCGCATACCACTAGTTCGTGTTTAAGGGATTGTCTGCTAGGACTCCAAAGTCCCTCATCCAGTTACTGGTTTTGTGCCAGGTTTGTCCTAAACTGAGCCTAGGTGTAAAACCTGGCTTTTCTCCACATTAAATTTCATTTTGTTGGATAGGGCACCGGGTTCAAGTCTGTCGAGATCTTTTTGGATCCTGAGCTTGTCTTCTGGGCTGTTGGCTATTCCTGCCAGCTTGGTGCCACCTGCAAATTTGATGAGTTCCCTTTTTATTCCCTCATCTAAGTCATTTATGGAGATATTGAAGAGGACCGAGGCTAAGACGGAGCCTTTTGGTACCCCACTGCTTACTTCCCTCCAAGGACAACTCGTTGAGTACAGTTTGTCAGCCAGTTACAATATCATCTGATGGTGATGCCATCCATCCCACATTTTTCTAGTTTACTAAGAAGTAGGTCGTGGTCTGCTCTGTTGAATGCCTTACTGAAGTCCAACTATACTACGTCCATAGCATTTCGCTAGTCTACTAATTTAGTCACTTAGTCAAAGAATGAAATAAGGTTGGTTTGGCGTGATGTGTTTTTAACAAACCCCTGCTGGCTTCTACTAGAAGTAGGTTGTGGTCTACTCTGTCAAATGCCTTACTGAAGACTAAGTTGTGCTTCCAGGCCTGTCCACCAGCGAGATGACCCTCGTCTTCGGCTGCCGTAGCTCCCAGCATGACCACATCTACTGCGAGGAGATCGAAGAGGCGCAGGAGACAGGGGCTCTACGCCGCGTCCTCACTGGCTTCTCACGGGACCCAGATTACCCCAAGGTAGCCGAGCGGGACCTCCCTACACCAGAGGACCCGTCTTATCCCAGGGGAGCTTCTGCTCGTTCTGAATCTACATTGGCAGGCCAAAAACTTATCCTTGTGGTCTCCAGAGGTGACCCTCTGGTGCCAGGAAGAGGGTCTACACCCCAACAGGGCGGCCGTCAAGCAGAGAGCAAGTCCCCCACTCACTCTTTATCTGCCACCCCCAGACCTACGTACAGGACCTACTGCGGCTGCACCTGGCTGACCACGTTTTTGAAATCCTGAGCCAGCGCGAGGGCCACGTCTATGTTTGCGGGGATGTCACCATGGCCACGGGGGTCCTGCAGACCATCCAACAGATCCTGGCGCAGGAAGGCAGGATGTCGTTGGTCGAGGCAGGCGACGCCATCAGCGAACTCCGGGTATGCAGGGCAGGATGCAATGGGCAGGGGACAGCTGTAGCTCAGCCCTACCGTGTGTGTGTGGGAGGCTCTGCTTTCTCAGGGGCCAATTTGTGTCTGTTTTTCAACCCCTCTCCCAGGACCAAAACCGCTACCACGAGGACATCTTTGGCCTGACCTTCCGCACGCAGGAAGTGGCGTCACGCATCCGAAGTCTCTCCTTCTCCAAGCAGGGTCGGAAAAGCTGCCTCGTGACGGAACCCTGAGCCCCTCAGTGCCTTATGTCCCCTCTTTTCTCAGGACCCCCCATTAAAGACCTTGCGTGGCCACCTTTGCAGCCCTTCTTCCTTCCTGGTGTGCGTTTGTGTGGTAGGATGACCAGTGGGGCTATACTTCTTGGGAAGAGGCTGGCAAAACCACCTCATTTTCCACGTGGGAACTTTGGGGACCACAAATCTGTACCTGGTGCCCAGGGTCCCTCTCCACCACAATTGCTACCAACCGCACAGGGAGTCCTTGACTTACGACCAATTGCTTAGTGACTATGGACTTTCTTGGCAGTCACTTATGATGCAGTTCTGAACGTTTGGTGGCTGCCTCACCAGTGGTGGGTTCCTCCCGGTTCGGCCAAGCCGGTAGCGGTGACGATATGACATCACCGAACCGGTTCTCCCACCCCCCACCCTCCCACGTTATTCTTACCTTTTATTTGGTCCCACCCCCAATCTATTGCTGCCTCCCGAGTCCCAGCTGATGACTAGAGGGAAAAAAAACTGTTTAAACTCTTGCCGCGGGGCTTCAAAGGGCCGTCCTACAGATGATCAGTGTTAAAAGCAAATAAATGAGTCGGGTCGTAAGTGCGAGGACTGGTCGTAAGTGCGAGGACCTTCCAGAAATGACTGTGACCAACTAGCCACGCCCACCCAGTCACATGACCTCCAAGCCACACCCACAAAATAAGCCACGCCCACAGAACTGGTAGTAGCATCCCACGATCGCTCTATTTATGGTTTTACCACAAACTGGCGTGAATGTCCGTTATTTTGGTTAAACTGCCTCATAGTGAACAACCGATTCATTTATTCATCATTATCATCATCATCTCCTTTTAACGACCCCATAATCTCTTGCAGGGTGGAGTCTGGGCAACTGAATGGAGCTAGTATGTTTTAATGGCCGGATGCCCTTCCTGTTGGCAATGTGGAGTTTTGTTCAGCAGATACATTCTCAGGGTGCCTAGAGAAAAATACCTGCCTCTATCTAGGATCAAACTCACAGCCTCCTGATTGTGAGCGAGAGCTCCATCTCTAGGCCACCGCACCTCTCCAACTGATTCATTTATTGTCCGCCCCCAAATAGATCATAAAATCAGGTTGGTGTCATGGGTGACCCATTTTGCAGCCATCTCAACAGGCTGGCCACTGGAGTTCTCCTCCTATGGCCGTGATGGCGAACCTAAGGCAGGGGTGCCACAGGTGGGACGCAGAGCCATTTCTGGGGGCACGCGGGCCGTCGCCCTAGGTCAGCTCCACCATGCATGTGCGTGCGCCTCCCGCCAGCCAGCCGATTTTGGGGTCTCTGCCGTACATGCGGGAGACGCACACATTCCCACGCTGCCCTGCCCCTCCCAGGAATCTCCACGTGGCCCGTTTCAGATGCCAGGGCTGGCCCTGGGAGGGCGAAAAACAGACCTACCGGAACAGCCTGTTTCCGGACTCTGGAGGGTTTCTGGCATGCGCAGGGGGGGTGGGGCATTGCATTATGGGTGTGGGCACACACGTGCGATATATTAGCCATCACTGTTGTATGGTACAGGTAGACTTACAATGGTTCATTTAGCGACCATTCAAAGTTCCAACAGCATAAAAAAAATAGACTTCGAACCGTTTTCCCACATTTACGACTGTTGGGGCATCCCCGTGGTCAGGTGATCGAAATTTAGACGCTCAGCAACTGGTTCGTATTTACGACGGTCGCCGTGTCCCGAGGTCCCCTTTGGCGACCGTTTGACCAGCAATGTCAAGAGGCAAGCCAGATTTGTTTAACGACCGTGTGACTAGCTTCACAAACACAATGATTCACTTAACAACTGTGGCCAGGAAAGTGGTCAACACTCCGTTTTCAAACGTTTCACTCAGCAGCAACAGAGATTTTGCCCTCCATTGTGGTCGACTGCCTCTGCCTGTTATCTGGGTCGGTTTCCTGCTTTTATGACTAGTTAATCCACTGAGGAAGAAACCAGGGACGGTGGGAGGGCGACAGAGCCGACCCTGGCTTTCTCCCGGAGGCCCTTCAGGGAGAAATGTGTGGCAGGAAGGATCTCGGCGGCTTCAAGGGGAACGGATCTTTCCCCTCTGCAGGATGGAGAGGGGATATAGACCCCCTCCCCAATCCACTCAGCAATCCCGGTATCCAAGTTGTACCAACCAGAACGTCCCACCGCAATGGCACCACCGAGCCCATTGCCTCCGTCCTTTTCCTACCAACCGAGGGTGGCAGCCTATTGCCGTCACTCAGCAGCCTGCCTGCCAACCTGGCATCGGGAGGGACCCCTCCCCAAAGGACAAAAATAGGGGATTTCTGTGCCCCCGCTTCCTCCCACTTCCAGAGAGAGCAACAGGGCCCTTTGTCACTTCTGTAAACATTTATTACCCCCCCCTGCCAAACTCGCCTGCGATGCGATCGCCACAGCATGCGTGGTGGAGAGGAGGGCTTAGGGTGGGCCAGCCCAGGAGGATGGGGAGGGGGAGGGGAAAGCACAGGGTGAGAGCAGAGCCTCTCCCACCCCTTTCTCTCTTGACCCCAGAGAGACCCCCATAATACAAGTAGCACCGTGCGGGGCCCAAACCAGCCCCAAAGCTTATTCACCCCCCTTAAGAAGCGTACACTGCCCCACCCCAAAGAGGGGCCAGGAAGCCTCGCTGACGAGGCTGCTTGTCACACGCAAGTCCACAGCGAAGGAGGGGCGGCTGTCATCCCATGCCTGCCCCGCCGGAGTGGGGAGACACCCGGAGACCCCACTTCCAAGCATGTTCTGCCCGCAGGAGGACCATACGGGCAAGCTGTCCATGGCAGTGCCAACCCTCCAGAAACCTGAAAGATGAAAGGAAGGACTTGGGTTGGTGGGGCAGAGAGATCTCAGGAGCTTCCTCCTTGTGTCCCCGCCATCCCCACCAGTGGCCCCCAACCTTTCCAGCTCTGTGGACCGGCAGTAGCGGCAATGGGGGATGGTTTTCATGCATGCAGCCTAATCCCACGCATGCCTAAATGGAGCTTCGGGTGCTCACCCAACCCTTGCGCGGACTGGTTCCCAAATAGGCCACAGACTGGTTTCCAACGAGCCGTGGACGGGTTCCCAAAGAGCCGCAGAGCGGTTCCCTATTGGTCACCGACTGGTTCCCAATGCATCGCGGACCACTTTCCAAAGAGCCGCGGACTGGTTCCCAATGAGCTGTGGACCTTCTAAGAAACTGTGGACTAGTTCCCAATGACTCATGGACTGGTTCCCAACGAGCCGTGGAACGGTTGCCAATGAGCTACAGACTGATACTGGTCCGTGGACTGGGGATTAGGAATCCCTACTCCATGCTTATCAGATGCTCCCCAAATCCTCCACAAGGGGGAGGCCCATCCCGGGAGAGGAGCCTGGACAGCCAACAGGAACCAAGGAGTCGGGGGTGGGGGGAGGCTGTGTATCCCGCCCCAGAGCAGGGAGGGAAGAGACACCTACACAGAGGAAGGAAGGAAGGAAGGAGCGAGTGGTGGTTCCTGCTAGCTCTTCTCCGGCTGCTGCTGCTGCTGCTGCGTCTCATCCGACTCCTCTTCCCAAACTTCTAGCGAGCGGTCCTGGCTGCGTGAATCGAAGAGACGCGGAGGGGATGCTGCACCGATAAAGAGGGCACGACTTGCATAACTCTTCCGCTACACAGGCGGGGTCCTTAGCGCAGCATTTTCCTGGGCTAAGGACTCCGCCTGTTTCCTGGGCGATGGGAGAGTTCCCGCCCCGTGACGCAGGATGCGCCTCGCGGACACAGCTATCGCGGACACAGCTATTGTACATGGAGGGGTTTGAATCTTGGGAGGGGAGAGCAGAGGCACCCGGAAAGGCATGCCGGGTGACAGTGGTGGCCCAGCTGTTTCCTGCCCACCCATCCCCATTTTTGGGGGAGCAGAGGGGCCACAAGTGGTACAGTCCTGCCCTCCAGGCTCTGACCTGTTTGTGCCGAAGGCTGCGGAGCGAGGCGAGCGGCTGCTTGTTGCTGGTGAAGCTGGGACGGGCGAGCAGAGAGAAGGGAGGGTGGTTAAAGATGGTGGGGAGGGGAGTATCTCAGCCAGCCCCCCTCCCCGGTCTCTGGGAACAGAGACGCAAGCCACTCACCTCGTGCATGTAGAGGGCGTGCAGACTCATCTCGGCCGATGCCAACTCGGAGAGCAGAACCGAGCGGCTGAGAGGAGCCGGGCGTGGGGCAGAGGGGGCAGTGCTGCTGGGGAAGAGGGCAAAACAGAGTCAGTCTCCCCCTTGAAGCACAGATGGGGAAGGGCTGAGCTCTCTCTTCCAGGCCCCCTCCCCTCCCCTCCCCTCGAATTCTTCAGCCAGCCATGCAAGCATGATGGACTTCAACTCCCAGAATTCCCTAATCAACTATGGAAGCATTGCAGACTTCAACTCCCAGAATTCCTTAGCATGGCTGCCTGAGGAATTCTGGGAGTTGAAGTCCAGAAGTGGTAAAGTGATTGGGAAACCCCCACCCAACTGCCCCTCCCTTCTCTAATGGGCTACCTGTTCTCCAAAAGGGGGCTCTGGCTGTTGCAGACCGAGGCTTCCCCAGGGCGGCTCCTGTGCCGGGATGGCTGGGAAGAAGACAGGGAGGCCAAGATGCTAGCCGTCACGCTGGCCGTGCTGCCGGGCTGAGCAACCAGCCGACGCTCCGCCAGGACCGGGTGGGTCAGGACGCTAGCCAGGAGGGCATCCGGCTGCAATGGAAAGATGTTCAGCCAGAGGCACTCAGGTTTATCAGCTCCCACCCCATGCTGGTCACAGCTGCCCTGGGCTCACCACGGGGCCTGGACCTTCGTCGGAGAGCAGGGAGGCCGCCAAGGGTCCCTCGGCCAGGAGGCGCTGGGCGTGGGAGGCGTCCTGCTGCACTTTCTCCTTCAGGTGCCCGATGAAGAGGGAGCTTTCAGGCGGGGGCTGCCAGTGTGGGTTGGCGATGGCAAAGTGGACCAGGGAGAGTTCCGTCTTGCCGTTCTCGGCCTGCTGGTAGACGGACGCCTCGGTCCGGCCCTGCGACAGCCACTGGTGGGAGAAAGAGAAAAGAGAAGAGAAAGAAGAATGGAGAGGAAAGAAGAGAAGAAAAAAAGAGAAGAAGAAAGAGGAGAAAAGAAGGAAGGAGAGAGAGAAGTAAAGGGAAGAGAGCTGGATGGGACCTTGGAGGTCTTCTAGTCCAGCTTCCTGCTCAAGCAGGAGACCCTTACAGAATGACAGCGTTGAAAGGGATCTTCAGATGACACTTGGAGGCAACCCCTCCCCCTCCGCTCACCTGGGGGTTGCCGTGGTTACGGATGTCCAGCTGGGCAAAAGAGCAGATGTCCCCCACACCCACCACCTCCACCGAGAAATTCCGGAAAAAGTCCACGATTTCCAGGGCTTTAGCCCGCAGGGCGAAGATGAGGAGGAAGGGGGTCACGATGGGACTGAGCAGCTCCTCCAGGATAAAAACCTGAGGATTACAGAGGGGGAGAGAAGTTCTGAGGATCACGGAGGGAGGGGGAGAGAATCCGAAACAAGTAGGTGGGGGAGTTCCAAAGTGCTTTCCCCTCCCGTAGGCCACTCACCGCCTTGTACTGGAAGAGCTGGGCCAGCTCCTCGCGGGTCTCTGACTTGTGAGCGTTGCCTTGCCAGTGGTCGGGGATGTAGTGGATGTGGGCCAACACACACTGGAGTAGCTGCTCCGGGCACCACACCAGGTGCTCGTCCGGGATGAAGGCCCTGCCGAGGGGGAGAGGAACCATCAGCCCCACACGGCTCCCAAATCACTGCCCTGGGAGCAACGTTGCTTGGTCCGTCTGCATCGGCGTCCCGTCACAAGCTACTTGAAGGGCGGCTGGCACATTTTTCCAGCTTTTGGCAGGGCGTGAGTGTGTGTGTGTGTCTTCCTCACCCCCACGGGGCCCTGCCCATCTCCCCTCTGCCCAGGTCTGGAGGGGCACCAGAGGTGAGATAAGGAAGGTATCTGACTTGGGACAAAGCCAGACCTTAGCCAGGAGGAGTTCAAGATGTGTCCTGGGGAACCTCCTGGTTGGAGGGTCTTCTAGGCCAAGTGAGGGGCACAGCGGCTGCCCAGGAGGAGCTGGGGAAGGAGGGAGAGAGGACGAAGGAGATAGGGAGGGAGGGAGGGGAGGAAGGAAAGGGAGGGAGAAAGGAAGGAAAGGAAAGAAGGGGAGGAAAGAAAGAGATAGGAAGGAAGAAAGGGAGCAAGTAAGGGATGGAGGGCAGGACGGAGGAAGGAGAGGGAGGAACAGGAGAAAGGTACAGGGAGGAAGGAAGGAAATAGGGAGGGAGAGAGGGAGGGGAGGGAAGAAGGAAGGTGAGGAAGGATGAAAGGAGATAGGAATGAAGGAAAGAGAGGGAGAGAGGGAGCGAGGATAGAAGTTGAGGAAGTTCAAAAGAAAGGAAGGGAGGAAGGAAGGAAGGAGTTAGGGAGGACAGGAGGGAGGAAGGAAAAGGAGGGAGGGCCCTGACTCCGGACCTACAAACCAGCACTTCTCCAAAGACCCCAAACTCAACCACTTCAGAAACTATCGGAGGCCCCCCCAGCTCCCTTTTCAGTCCAGCCCTGCGAGGAAACCCCCAACGCCCATCCCCAAACCGGGCAGCAGCAGACGGACCCCTTACCTTCCTCCAGCCCCCCCTTCCCTCCTCTCACCTGGCCAGTGTGACCACCAGTCCTAGCAGTGTGATGGCGGTCAGGATATGTTGGACGGTAAGCACGTCCTCGTCATAGACAGTCAGAGCGATCAACACGGCCAGGAGGGAGCCAGCGAAGAAGCCGACGTTCCGGGCCACTACGGCCAGCAGAGGGTTGGCGAAGGAGTTCATGTACTTGGACGCCGGCTTGTAGCCGTGGCTCAGCCGGGCCTGCAGCTCGTGGTCCAGCTCGTTGAAGTGGCGGAGGTAGAGCCGGCCGTAAAGCGACCAACGCCGGGCGCCGAGGCTCCCAGGCTCCCGCTTCAGCGCCTCAGTGTAGCTGAAGAAGGCGTAGAGGCCCTGCCAGACCAGGATGAAGGGACACAGCAACAAATTGGCGACTCCGAGGAGCAGCAGGCTGCGCTCCAGCTGGCGGGCCAGCTCCAGCCGGGCCCCAGCGCGCTTGTACTGAGGCTGGAGGTTCCACTTGCCCTGGAAGAGTGACCCTGGTCCCCAGAACAGTAGCAGCTCCAGGTTGTACTTGAGACCCTGGGTCAGGAAGACTCCCCGGCCCAGCAGGGGCAGCTGGAAGCGGATGGGGAGCAGGGACTTGTTGACCATGGCCACCAGGTAGTTCTTGAAGCGTAGGATCCGGTGGTGGATGTCCAGTTCGGTCAGCTCCCGCCGGTGGACGCAGAGCTGCTGTTCCCGTTGCAGCGAGATCAGCCGGGCCTGCACCTCCTGCCAGCTGCAGTTGCACAGCTGCTCCTGGGAAGGGAGGGATTTGCAACTAAGATGGCAGGAATATATATACATATATATATACACATATATACATATATACATATACTTATACATATACATATATATATATATATATATATGCTTTAAATTTTCCTTCTAAAAAGGAAAAAATAACAAACAGACCTAGGAAACTACAGACTGATCAGCCTAACATCAATACCTGGGAAGATCCTTGAAAAAGATAATCAAAAATCAGATCTACAAATGTCTAGAAACAAATAAAGTTACACCTACTAGCCAGCACAGGTTTGTTAAAGATCACGGTAAACCAATCTTATTTCCATCTTTCAAAGTGACTAAATTAGTAGACCAGCGAAATGCCGTGGATGTAGTAGACTTCAGTAAGGCATTCGACAAAGTAGAAAGCAATCTAATTGTACTAGAAGACAGCATGAGTTTGTTAAAATCAGATCATGGCAAACCAATCTTATTTCATTCTTTGACAATGTGACTAAATTAGTAGACCAGTGAAATATCGTAGATATAGTATACCGTGTTTCCCTGAAAAGATGACCTATTCCAAAAATAAGCCCTAGCCTGGTTTTTTACGCATGCAAGTCCTACCCCAAAAATAAGCCCGAGTGAAGGGGAGTGAGCATGGGAGGCGGCGAGCGCTCGGGGACAGACAGTGTCTGGCAGCAACTGTAGCACGCACAGCACAGGTGAGTTGAGTATCTGTGCAAGTAGCAGGCGGAAGCAGAGGCAGGGGGAGGCAGGCGATCCGGACGTGCCCGTAGGCAACAGGAAAGCTGAACGGCAGATGGTCTGGAGCGGCAGCTGCCCATGGGACATTTGTCTTCACGCAGCAACAGCAGCAGCAGAGGCAGAGGTGCAGGGTGGGAGGCAGGCAATCCTGATGCGCAGCGCACATGTCACAGGAAAGCCGAACAGCGGTGGGCCTGAACAGCTAGGCTCATTTTCTCAGCTCTCAATTTGTGTGCAGCTCGCGCAGCGTGTTGGGATCGCCTGCCTTCCACTCTGCGCCTCCCGCTCTGTGCAGCCCCAGAGTGCGCCAAGGGACTGGTGGGCTGCAGCTGTCGCTGGATACTGTCTGACCCTGCGCGCTTGCCAATTCTTGTGTGCTCACCGGGTGGGGAGGAGGGGCACCCAGCCGGGTTTATCACCCTGAAATTGTGTTTCCCCAAAAAGAAGCCCTAGTGCTTATTTTGGGGCCCAAAAGAAAATAAGACCAGGTCTTATTTTCAAGGAAACATGGTACTTAAAACTTCACTAAAGCATTCAACAGAGTAGACCACAATGTACTTCTTGGAAAACTAGAAAAATATTAGATAGAAAGCGTCACCACTAGATGGAGTTGTAACTGGCTGACAAACCATACTCAATGAATAGTACTTAATGGCACGACATCCACATGGAGGTAAGTAAGCAGTGGAACAAGGTTCCATCTTACGCCCAGGACTCTTCAATATCTTCATCAATGACTCAGATGAGGGAATAGAAGGGGAACTCATCAAATTTGCAGATGACACTAAGCTGGCAGGAATAGCCAACAACCCCAAAGACAAGCTCAGGATCCAAAAAGATCTCGACAGACTTGAACCCAGTGCCCTATCCAACAACATGGATTTTAAAGTGGAGAAAAGCCAGGTTTTACACCTAGGCGGGAAAAACCAAAGGGACAAGCATAGATTAGGTGAAACCTGGCTCAAAAATAGTAATGCTGAGAGGGATCTTGGAGTCCTAATGGACGATCCCTTAAACATGAGACAGCCGTGTGCGGCAGCAGGTGAAAAAAGCTGATAGAATCCTTCGTTCTATAAACGAACGCACAGAATCAAAAATACGGGAAGGACTGGTACCAGGGGTGGGATTCTACAGGTTCAGACTGGTTTGGGCGAACCGGAAGCTCTGACAATTAGCTGGGCCCACCTGCCCACCCCCACTATTTTCCTACCTTTATCTCCTCAGATGATTTGTGTGGCAGAACTGATTGCTGTGCAAATCAGCCGTGTTACTCCTCCAAAGAAACCCGGAAGTGAAGATTTGTTCAAACGGCGCACACACGCGTTAGATCTCTGTACCAACTGTTAAGCCGGGAGAATCCCACCACTGATTGGTACCTCTTTGTAAAGCCTTAGTAAGGCCACACCTGGAATGCTGCATCCAGATTTGGTCACCATGTTACAAAAAAATGTTGAGACTTTGGAAAAAGTGCAGAGAAGAGCAACTAAGAGGTTTGAAGGCCTGGAGATCAAAACATATGAAGAACGGTTGCAGGATTTAGGGATGGCCAGTCTAGAGAAAAGAAGGACTAGGGAGGACATGATAGCAGCCTTCCAGTATTTGAGGGGCCAAGTCATAGAAGACGGGGTCAACATATTTTCCAAAGCAACAAAAGGCAGAACAAGAAACAACAGATGGAAACTAACTGAGAAGCGAAGCAATCGGGAATGAAGGAGAAACTTCCTAACAGTGAGGACGATTAACCAGCGGAACTGCGTGCCACTGGAAGTTGTGGGTGCTTCGTCACTGGAGGTTTTTAAGAAGAGACTGGACAGCTACTGGTCTGAAATGGTATAACCCCCCCCACCCCTCCCCACACTTACCGAGGGGATCTTGAGCGCCTTGGTGTAAAAGGACCGGATCTCCCAGTAGCTCAACAGGCTGCAAAGGACTTTCACCAAACGGTAGAGCCAGAAAGTGGCAGCCATGACTAGCAGGAAAATGATACCACTATTGGCCTGGATCCTGGGGGGGGGGGGGGGGAAGGGGGGGGGGAGGGGGGAGAGGAAGCAACAGGTTCAGCCGTTGGTTGTGCAAGGCCTCTCCGGTTGCACACAAACAAACAAACAGACAGACAACATCTTCTAGGAACAGCCCCAGATACGCGGAAAGAGCTGAGAGGTTGCCGACGGCGGCTTGGACCGGTCCCAGGATCAACAGGCGGGGAGTGTCACGTTCTCTCTCTCACAGCTGGGCTGCAGGTATTTTGGGGGCAGGGGGGGGGGAGGCTCACTCTGCACCTGTCGAACAGCAGCCTTGGAGACAGCAACTCAGGGCTCTTGCCCGGCAACAGCTGCTCCAGTTTCTAAAGTAGCCGTTGAGCAAACACAGGCCGTCCTTGACGTCCAACCGCCGTGGAGCCTGGAATTCCTTCAGTTCAGCAAGACATTGGCCAAGTTCCTCTGAGGCCGCCTCACTTTTCTTCTTCGTTAAGTGGATCCCCGCCGTTTTAAAATTTGGAACCCGGTCATTAAGCGGATCCAGGTTTTGGCCCTTGGCTCATCGGGGGGTTGGGGGGGTTGGGAAAGGGTCACATGCCAAGACTGTCCGAAATACGAACTGGTTGCCGAGAGCCCAAATGTAAATCAGGTGACCTGCAGTGGCTGTAAGCATGAAACGAGGTCATAAGTCCATGTCTTCCATGCGGTTTGTGACTTCGTGCGGTCACTAAAGGAATGGTTGTTAAACCGAGGACTATTTCTAAATAAACGTTTCTCAACTGAGCCGAGGGCAGGTCTCTGAAGTATCTGCCCCCCCCCAGCTCACCAGCACCCCCATGACATTTTTGGTACCCCACGGATAGCACAGGGAAGCTATTTTTTACAGACAATCCTCGGTTTACGACAACTGGGCCCCACCTTTCTGCCATTAAGTGAGACATTTCATTTCAAGTGAGTTGCATCCCATTTCCCCTTCCTTGCCCCCACTGTTGAGTGACTTCCTGCGGCTGATAAATGAGTCACCCGTCTGTTAAGTCAATCCGGCTTCCCTGTCGACTGCTTGGCTCGTTGGAAAGGGAGCACCACAACCGTCATAACTGAACCGGCTGCCAAGTGCCTGAAGTTTGATCACCTGACCACGGGGACGCTGTGACTCTCGTTGAGCGCAAACAACAGCCCCATGTCTCTTTTTTTTTGGTGCTGCTTACGACTTCAGATGGTCACTAAATGAACTGCCTGCCTTGGGGCTCAACCAGAGCTGAAAAGGAGAGACTCCACATGCCAAGGCAGCCTAGCTTGACTGATAAGCCAGAGAGGCTCGCACGTGTGTGTGTGCGTGTGTGTGTGTGTGTCCCAATGTGCCCTTGTAATGTTGGTTGCTAAGCAAATTGTCGTAAGTCGAGGATGTGGTGTACCTGCATCCTGCAAAGCTGATCCTGAAAAGCAGATTCGAGGTGGATTAGCCCACAGTTCTCACCCTTCAGCCAGCCCCCCCCCCCCGTGAGATCAGCAAGCCGTAATAGGCGAGACTCCTCGTGCCGAGGTAGTCTATCTTTGCCGATAAGCCAGAAAGGGCTTGTGCCAAGCTGACAGGGGTTCCGAAGGCGGCAGGGAGGGGAGGTGGGACAAAGTGTCTTTTGTTCCCTTTTGCTCAGCGCCCCCGAAAACAAGACCCTCGTCCCACCCGGAGATATGAGCGATGCTCGGCTCGGCTTCCTGCACTGATGGCCCAACACGATGCCTGTCTCAGCTCCTGTTAAAGAACCGGGTGCATCTGCCGAATTCAGCCTTGCTCTGCCGGTGGCTACTCACCTCTCGGCACACTGGGCAGCCGGCAGGATGGCATCCGGCAGCGTCACCTTGCCACGGTCGGGCGCAAAACCCCTTCCTCCTGCGCCGGGGTGGGTGTGATTGACGGGCTGGTTGGCGAAGAGGATGTCGTATTCCACACAGCAGAGCAGGAAGGTGGAGAACGTGGCCACAAACAGGAACTGCCTGGGGAGAGGGGTGGGGGTCAGGGGGGGCGGAGAGGAGGGTGGCTGGGGACGAGAGGGAGGGCTTGGGGAAACCCCCCCTCCACTCTGAGAAGTTGTGGGTGCTCCATTACTGGAGGCTTTGAAGGAGGGTCCCTTGTCTGGCATGGCAGAGGGAACTCCTGCTGGGTTCGACCAGAAGACCTTCCAACTCTATTCCGGATACTCTTCTGCTCCGTTCTGCTCCCTGTTCCATTGTTCTTCTTCTTCTACTGTTCTCTTCCGTTCTGCATTCTACGTTCTACATCCTGCCCCAGGACGCCCCTTTCGCCAAAGGATCGAGGGCCCACCGCGCAGGAAGGGAGCGCAACTCCCCCACCCGCCTAAAGGCCAGCCCTCTTTCTGGCTGCCCCCCCCACCCGGAGGGAATCGGGGGGTGGGGGGGAGGAGTGGGGACGGATGGCACCCGGTCGGGGCCCTTACACCAGCTCAAAGACGTCGGAAAGCATCATGCAGCCGAAGCCGTTCCTCTGGTGGAAGTGATAGATGTGGAGATGCCGTCAAGGAAAAATATAACCATGTTGGCCACAGGATGCGTCCCACCGTATGACCCACGGAGGTGGGGGAGAGAGGGGGAGGGTTGACCTGCACAGCGACAGACACTTCAGGGAAGCTTAAGACAGATTCCACGCCTGGGGGGGTTCAGCCAGCCTCCCTGGACGGGTGGTCTTCGATTTATGACCGTAATCCAGCCCCAAATTTGCATTGCTAAGCAAGACAGTGGTTAAGCGACTTGTGCCTCCTTTTATGACCTCGCTTGTCCTGGTCATTAAGTGAGTTTGTTAAATGAGAACGGCCTCATTTAACAACCGTACTTGCCCTGGTTGTTAAGCGAGAATGGTCTCTTTTAACGACCTTGCTTGCTCTAGTCGTTAAGTGAGTTTATTAAGTGAAAATTGCCTCCTTTAACGACCTTGCTTACCTCGGTCATTGAGTTTGTTGAGAATTGCCTCCTTTAATGGCCTTGCTTACCTTGGTCAGTGAGTTTGTTAAGTGAGTTGTATCCGTTTTGCAACCTTGCTTGCCCCAGTCGTTAAGTGAGTTTATTAAGTGAGAACTGCCTCCTTTAACAGCCTTGCTTACCTCGGTCATTAAGTGAGTTGTGCCACCCTTTCCCTTTCTTGCCCTCTTTGTTAAATGAATCTCTGCAGTCGTTAAGTTAGCAACACGGTCATTAAGCGAATCTGGCTTCCCCAGTGAGTTTGTTTGTGAAGGTGGCAAAAGGACATCAAGTGATTTTTGTGACACACAGCAATCGTCATAACTACAAGTCGCTCGCCAAGGGTCCGAGCTTTGATCCCATGACCGTCAGGATGCTGCAATGGTTGTTAAGTGTGAAAAATGGTCCTCAGTCACTTTTTTTCAGTGCTGTTGTAACTTCGGTCACTAAACAGACTGTCCTTGACTTACAACAGTTCATTTAGTGACCATTCCAATGGCCCTGAACCCTCTGACCGACGACCATTTTTCATCCTTACAACCGCCGCAGTCTCCCCCCCCCGGTGATCCAAATCCGGCTGCTCACGGCAACCGACTCCTAGTCGGCACAGTCGTCGTGTGCTGGGCTCACGTCATCCCCACTCCTGCGGTCAAGTCGATCGACCAAACCAGGTTTGCTCAACCCACTGGGTGACCAGCCGGACGACGGGAGGGCTTCCCTTGGGGATGGCGGCCCATTCCCTTAAGAAACATCTGGCGGTTGTTAAGCCAAGGACCGGCTGTAACGTTGAGCTGGAGGAAGGGGCTTTTTTTCCATGGGTGAGGGGGGGGGATTTTTCCCAAGGATATTTTGGTGAAGAAGTTATCCAGGTTCTTGATGTGGTGCCAGGAATCTGTGGGTGGGGGGAGGAAAAAAATTAGGGTTCAAGGAGTCTCCCCACGTGCCCCCCCACTTCTCCACACAGCCCCCTCCCCAAAATCCCAGGGTACCTTTCAGCCCCTCCGTCACGTGGACCAGCAGCTCCTCATCATCCTCATCTTCGTAAACTGGCAAGGGATGGTATTCCCCCGAGAGTTCCTGGCTGCCCGCCATGGGGCCGGGCGCACAAAGAGGTACACACAACCACACACAGAAACAGAGCCCCTCCCCTGGAGAGCTCCGGGCTAGCGGGGCAGCCGTCCTCCAACGCCCTCAAATCGCCGGCCACCCTGCAACAAAAAAAGCACACAGTCACAACGCACGCAACCGAGAGCGGACAAAATCCCTGAGCAAAAAAATGGGATTCGACAACTGGGATCTTCTCGGCCAGAAAGAGGACAGCCACACAAAAGGATGCACACACACACACACACACACACACCCCTGCAGCAAGATGACCCCCCCCCCCCCCGAGACCGTGCGCGCAAGGGGGATTTCCCCCCCCCCCCCCCCAAAGTCCGGTCAACAGGGAGCCTGGGGAGAAGTCGGTGGCGCCCCATCAGGTTAGAACATGCAAGGACAGAGTTGAAGGGACCTTGGAGGTCATCTAGTCCAACCCCTGATCCAAGAGGAGACCCTGACCGAATTACAGGGTTGGAAGGGAACTTGAAGGTCATACAGTCCAACCTCTGGCTCAAACTTAATGCGTTATTGCTTAACAAATTGTAAGCCGCCCTGAGTCTCCGGAGAAGGGCGGCATATCAATCAAATTTTAAAAAAAAACAAAAAAAAAAACAACTGGAGACACTTACAGAATAGCAGAATAATTGGAAGGGATCCGGGGTCGTCTAGCCCAAGCTCTGCGACAGAAGCATAGCATAATGGAAGGGACCTCTGAGGTCATCTAGCCCAACCTCCTTGCACGAGGAGGCTGCCCAGTCTCCTTTCTCCATTTTTTAAAACCTTCACTTACTTGCTAGCCACTCAAGATGCCCAACCCCCCCCCCCCCCCCCTCCCTCCCCCCCCCCCTTTCCCGCCCCCCCAACAACAACCCTGCGAGGTGGGCTGGCCGGCAAGACAGAGCCTGGCCCAGCCTCCCCCACACCCGCAGCCCAAGGCAGGACTCGAACTCACCCCCTCCCCCACCCAGATCCAGCCTTCAGGGGCGTCGCAAGTCCGAAGCGGCGGGCGTAGGTGCGGAGCAGCGGCAGATCCCGCGAAACGCCCCTAACGACGCCTCCTCCGGCCGCTGCCAACCCCTCTCCCGCCAACGGGACGCCCCCTGCCCCGTCCTCGGAGCCTCCCCGGGCCGGAGGAGGGAAAAGCAGCCGCTCACCGACGAAGGAGCGACCCTGAGTCACGCCGGGCCGGAGCCGCGTCCGACCCCGCGGGTACCGAGGCCACGCCTCCCGGGGGGTGGAGACAACGGGGTCACGCCTAGCCGAATTACTGCGCCTGCGCTGACTGTTTTCTGGCACAAAGTAGCGTGGCCCCCGCCTCACCGGCTCTTAGTGCGCCTGCGCAGACAGCTCTCGGGGGCGGAGCCGGCGTGGACTAGCTTCACCAATTCTTAGTGCGTCTGCGCAGATCGACTTCTGTGGGCGGAGCCGGCCAGGACCCCATTTACTCTTTATTGCGCGTGCGCGGGTCGCCTTCCGAGGGTGGAACCGTCGTAGACCAACTTTTGTTTTGCCTGCCTAAATCGCCTCCAGGGGGCGGAGCCGGCGTGGACCAACCTCACTGATTCTTATTGCGCCTGCGCAGGTCGTCTCCTCTGACCCGAGCCTGCATGAACTAGCCTGACTCTTATTGCGCTTGCGCGGGCCTCCTTGCAGACTCTTATTGCGCCTGTAGAGGTCGCCTCCCGAGGGCGGAGCCGCGCTTCAACGACTGTCATTGCGCATGCGCGGATAGCTTCTCGGGCGCGGAGCCGACGGGGTCTTCGCCCCGCGCCTGCGCGGAGCCATCGCCGCCTCCACGCGCGCCTCGAAGCTCTGCGCCTGCGCGGCTGTTCGTCCCGCGTGGCTCAGCCACGCCCCCTCCTCTCCGCGCGGGGCATTGTGGGCGGCGGCGACGGTTCGTGAGGGCGTGAGGGGAGCCGCTTTCGGTCGCCGCTATGTTGCTGGCCCGGCTGGCTCTGCTGCGGCCGGGCCTGGCCGGAGGCCGCTGCTCCCCCTACGGCCGGCGGCTTCCCCGCGCCGAGGCGGCCATGAAGGGCCCCTCGCCGGCCCCCGGCGTTGCCAGGTAACCGCAATGGGGGTCAGGCCGCCTCGCGAGTCATGCCGGGACTCGTAGTCCCTCCTCCTGCTCCTCTCCTATTGGCTCTAGGCCGCGGTGGGTGGGAAAGTCACTTTCTCCCACCAAGGGAAGAGCTGAGCCAGCAAAGCCGGCCAGGACTGGCATGGCGCATGCGCGCTCTTTGGTTTTCACCCCAGTTGGGATTCCTCCCCCCCCTTCCCCCCGCCTCCAGGTTTTCCTTGGAATTCGGTGCTTGGAAAAGCCCCCAATTTTTTCTTTATCTGCTTTCCCCTCTGGTGCGAAACAGCTCAATAGGTCAGAATAGAGCTGGAAGGGACCTCGGAGGTCATCTAGTCCCGCCCAGTACTTGTTGAGCGCATGGAAATGTTCAATAAACCACGATTACACAGTGGTAGGTCATGCCAATACCTTTAATCATGGTTTACTGAACATTCCTGTAAGCCGCCCAGAGTCTCGATGAGTCTCAAAGCGTGCTCAGCAAGTAATGGGTGGGACTGGATGACCTCCGAGGTCCTTTCCGCGAGTCTATGATTCTGTTAAGGGTCTCCTGCTTGGGAAAGAGGTTGGAGTAGAAGACCTCCGAAGTCCCTCCCAACTCCGTCATTCCTAGGACACACTCCTGGGCTACGGTGGTGCTTGTTTTCCAGTGAGACAGAACAAACACTGAGCTAATGTTGCACTTTGGTGATTAGCCTCCTTAAATCAACCATCCCTGGGCTGGGTAGATTTCTTGCAGACCTTTCATGACCCAGCTAGGGAACATCATCAGTGCTAGAAGGGAGGGGGAGGGAAGAGGGAGGGGAGAGAGAGGGAAGAGGGAGGGGAGTAGGAAGAGGGAGGACTGTGGGGTCCTTGCGGCTCTCTGAGCTGGGTGGTTTTCTTGCAGATGTTTCATCGCCCTACTAGGTAACATCATCAGTGCTAGAAAGGAATGGGGTTTGCAAAGAGAAGGAGGAGGAGAAGGAGAAGGAGGGAATGGGAGAACTTGCCCAGCCAACTCCCCGCTGGACAATTCACCCTTGGACAATTGAACAATTCAATGTCATGATTCCAAATAAATAAATAAATACTTATAATTTTTCTCCTTTCGCGTTTCATTCAGTCCCTCCTTTTGCATCCTTTCTTGAATGATTCTATTCCCCCATTTTGTTTGAGATTTCGTGTAACTCTTGCTCTGCAGCAAGTTGTCATGGCAACTTGTTACAGACCCAGAGGAGGAGGAGGAAGATTGTGGGGTCCTTAGTGCTCCCTAAGCATTGTTCTCTTGCAGACGTTTCATTCCCCAAAGTGGGCAACATCGTCTTCCTCTTCCTTTTCTTCTTTTTCCTCCTCCTCCTCTATTCCTCCTCCATCCAGCACTGATGATGTTCCCTAGGTGGGTCATGAAATATCTGCAAGAAAACCACCCGGCTCAGAGAGCTCCAAGGACCCCACAGTCCATCTTCCTTCTTCTTCCTCCTCCTCCTCCTCCTCCTCCTCTTTGCAAACCCTCCTCCTCCCTTCAAACCTCCTCCCTTCTAGCACTGATGATGTTCCCTAATTGGGTCATGAAACGTCAGCAAGAAAACCCACCAACTTCAAAGGACCCCACAGTTGTCCTCCCTCTCCTCCTCCTCCTTTCCCTTCTAGCATTGATGATGTTACCTAGTTGGGTCATGAAATGTTGGCAAGAAAACCACTCAACTCCACACTTGGAACCCCCTCTACATAGAATGCTTTGACCCCTTCAGAGAGAAATGCTCTTGCTACCCCTTACCTGCCCCCGTCGTAGATTGAGGGTGGGAAGCTTGGTTTGGGGGCTAACCCTGGGCGAATGGGATGCCCAGGGACCAGAGGGCAGGCAGGCACCCCTTGCAAGCGCGCCCATCTTTTCTCACAATTTGTATATGTGATTGTATGTTTTCCTTCTCTCCTTCCTTGCAGGCACTCTGGAAGCCATGCCAGGCAGTCCTGCTTCCGCCGGGTTCCCCGCACTGCCCCCAAGCTCTCCCCGGCCGTCCTGTTGGTTTTGCCTCGCCACCTGGTCCCGCTGGGCCGGATGGCAGCCTTGTGGGCGGGGCCGGCTTTGGTGGGGCTGGGGGCCGGCTTCAGCAAGAGAGTCTTCTGTCAGGAAGCGCCCAAAGTGGAAATGGTCTGCATGCCTGGAGAAAAAGAGCCAGATTTCAACTGGGCCATGTTTTGGAAATTCTTGCGTCCTCAGCTACTGGCAGTGACGGCGGCCATCGTGGTGAGGGTCTTTGCCCTGTGGTTAAGAATGTGGGTGGGGGATGGAGGCAGGCCAGTGTAGCCTGTTGCTCAGAAGGACTCTTGAGTGGGAAGGAAATTAAATTAGAATAGAATTGGACAGGACCCTGGAGAAGAAGGAAGAGGGAGGGAGGGAGGGAAAGAAGGAAGGAAGGAAGATGGAAGGAATGGGAGGAAGGAGGATGGAAGGAGAAAGAAGGAAGATGGAAGGAATGGGAGGAAAGAAGAAGGAAGGAAGGAGAGAGAAGGAAGATGGAAGGAATGGGAGAAGGGAGGAAGGAGAAAAGGAAGGAGAAGGAAGGGAGGAGAAACAAGGAAGATGGAAAGAATGAAAGGGAGGAAGGAGAAAGGAATGAAAAAAGTAAAGGGGAAAATATAGAAGAAGAAAAGAAAGGGAGAAGAAAGGAAGGAGAAGGAATTGAAGGAAGGAGGAAGGAAGGAGAAAGAAGGAAGATGGAAGGAAAGGAAGAAAGATGGAAGGAAGGGGAAGAAAGGATGGGAGAAGAAAAGGAATGGGAGAAGGAAGGGAGGGAGGAAGACAGACAGGAGAAAGAAGGAAGATGGAAGGGATGGGAGGAAGGAAGAAGGAAGGAAGGAAAGAGAAGGAGGATGGAAGGAATGGGAGGAAGGAAGAAGGAAGGAAGGAGAGAGAAGGAAGATGGAAGGAATGGGAGAAGGGAGGAAGGAGAAAAGGAAGGGGAAGGAAGGGAGGAGAAACAAGGAAGATGGAAAGAATGAAAGGAAGGAAGGAGAAAGGAATGAAAAAAGTAAAGGGGAAAATATAGAAGAAGAAAAGAAAGGGAGAAGAAAGGAATTGAAGGAAGGGGAAGGAAGGAGGAAGGAAGGAGAAAGAAGGAAGATGGAAGGAAAGGAAGAAAGATGGAAGGAAGGGGAAGAAAGGATGGGAGAAGAAAAGGAATGGGAGAAGGAAGGGAGGGAGGAAGACAGACAGGAGAAAGAAGGAAGATGGAAGGGATGGGAGGAAGGAAGAAGGAAGGAAAGAGAAGGAGGATGGGAGGAAGGAAGAAGGAAGGAAGGAGAGAGAAGGAAGATGGAAGGAATGGGAGAAGGGAGGAAGGAGAAAAGGAAGGGGAAGGAAGGGAGGAGAAACAAGGAAGATGGAAAGAATGAAAGGAAGGAAGGAGAAAGGAATGAAAAAAGTAAAGGGGAAAATATAGAAGAAGAAAAGAAAGGGAGAAGAAAGGAATTGAAGGAAGGGGAAGGAAGGAGAAAGAAGGAAGATGGAAGGAAGGGGAAGAAAGGATGGGAGAAGAAAAGGAATGGGAGAAGGAAGGGAGGGAGGAAGACAGACAGGAGAAAGAAGGAAGATGGAAGGGATGGGAGAAGGAAAGCAGGAAAGGAGAGTTTATACAACCAAGGATCGTATGAGCTTTTTGTGCCGGCTGCCGCACACTGCCGGCTCCCCTTCCAGCGATCCTCTTGAACCCCACAAGTTTCTCAACGACTCCCGGCGGTGCGTTTTTCCAAGTCTTTCTCTTTCCCACCCTCCAGTTTGCCTTCGGGGCGGCCATGCTCAACATCCACATCCCGTTGCTGCTGGGCCAGATGGTGAACGTGGTGGCCAAGCACATGCGGGTGGGTGATTACCTGCGCATGGTGCGCGAGCCGGCCCTGCGCCTGCTGACCATCTACGGCCTTCAGGTGATGATCTTCCTCCTCCTCTCAAGCCCCGGGCCAGATTCTATTTTTGTCTAAATCCCCGCAAACCCACCCCACCCCCATCGGGGGATTAGAGCGCATCAATGCTCAACGTCGTGATTGGCAGCGCACAACTCCGGATGGCAACACGTCATTCTTTTTTTCTTTCTTTTTTTTTGTGGCCGCAGGGTGTGTTAACCTTTGGGTACATCCTGCTGCTGTCCTGGATCGGGGAGAAGGTAGCTGGCAGTATGCGGAAGCAGCTCTTCTCGTCCTTCCTCCGGTAACGGCCATGGAAATGGGTGGCCAGGTCCAAAAGGGACTCTGCATTGAATCAGAATCTGGAAGGGACCTTGGAGGCCTTGTCCAACCCCCCGGCTAGACCAGGAAACCTTGATAGAATCATAGAATAATGGCAGGATCCTTGGAGGCCTTCTAGTCCAACCCTGGCTCGAGCAGGAGACCCTTTACCTTTACTATTCCCGTACAGAAGGATAGAAGCACAGAGTTGGAAGGGACCTTGGAGGTCATCTGGTCCAATCCCTGCTTAAGCAGGAGAATCATAGAATAATGGAAGGGACTTTAGAGGTCTTCTAGTCCAACCCCCTGCCCAAGCAGGAAACCCTGACAGAATCACAGAGTTGGAAGGGACCTTGGAGGCCGTGTAACCCTAGTTCTCTCCTTTCCCAAGAGAAGAGATAGCCTTCTTCGATGCCAATCAGACAGGGCACCTGGTGAATCGCCTGACCGCCGACATCCAGGAATTCAAATCTTCCTTCAAGCTGGTCATCTCTCAGGTTTGGCTCATGGGGGGCAGGGGCAGAAGGGTCGGGGGGGGCAATTCTGCTGTGATTTAAGGCCCCCTCACACAAATAGGCTGGGGGAGGTTCCCTTCCCTCTTTAACAGGGCGTCTCTTTTCATGCTGCCGTCTCTCTCTCCACACCCCCAAACTTGCAGGGTCTGCGCAGCCTCACTCAAACCGTGGGCTGTTTCGTGTCTCTCTATCTGATTTCCCCTAAGCTGACCGGGCTGCTTGTGGTGGTGATGCCCTTCTTGGTGGGCATCGGGACCTTTCTCGGCACCTCCCTTCGGAGGCTCTCCCGCAAAGCCCAAGAACAGGTAGGGAAGAGTAACCTGTGTGAACGAGTGTGAACGTACTCCGAAGTAAACGTGTTTGGCAGAGGCCCAGAACTCTTTGTATTCAAGTCCTGCTTTATCTAGTAGAGGGGTGTCCAACCTTGGCAACTTTAAGACTTGTGGGCTTCAACTCCCACAATTCCCCAGCCAGCAATTTTTTCTCTCTGTTGAAGTCAAGATATATTATGTTCACTGCATACCCACCATCTACTAATAAAGTTTCCCTATCAAAAATATGATGTTATTATGTTCACTTATGATCTCGTCTGTTCTGTTTCGACACAACCCTCGCTTTTCCTAGTCCTTCTTTGGGTTAAGCTCCGTATGTACAGGTAAACCCCACTTTTCTGTTGTTAAATGAAACATTTGTGAAGTGAGTCTCGGCCCATTTTACAAACTTTGTTGCCACAGTTGTTAAGGGAATCCCTGCAGCTGTGAAGTTAGTAATGCAATTGGTTAAGTGAATCTGGCTTCTTTGTCGTAAGAGATGCCACAAAAGGGGATCACATGACCCCAGAACAGTGCGACTGTTGTAAATATTAACCAGTTGCCAAGCGCCCGAATTCTGATCACAGGGATGGTGCAAAGGTAGTGTGAAAAAAATGGTCCTAAGGCACATTTTTCAGGACCGTCATAACTTTGAGCGGCCACTAAATGAACTGTTATAAGTCGAGAACTACCTGTATTTTTGTCGTAGCTGTGTTCTATCTGGCTGCAGCCAATTCCCACGCTCAGCCAGCCACTGAGTGACCTTCCTTCCTTCCTTCTTTCTTCGCAGGTGTCTAAGGCCACAGCTGTGGCAGACGAGGCCTTGGGGAACGTCCGGACGGTGCGGGCCTTTGCCATGGAACCCAAAGAGGTCCAGTGAGTACCACAAAGGAGATCCCTCCATGCCCCGCTCTCTTTAAGGACCCTTTTAAGACTTTTAACTTTAAAACTTGTGGACTTCAACTCCCAGAATTCCCTAGCCAGCAATTTTTTTTCACTCTGTTCAAGTCAAGATATATTACGTTTACTACATACTCATCATCTATTAATAAAGTTTCCCTGTCAAAAAATGTGATTTATTATGTTTGCATATCCACCATCTGCTAATAAAGTTTCCTTATCAAAAAATGTGATATATTATGTTCACTACATACCCACCATCTACTAATAAAGTTACACTATCCACAAATGTGGTAAAGTAGTCTACCTACATTTGTTCTTGTCCTTGTCCTATCCATTCTGGTAAACCCCTGTTGGCTGGGGAACTTAAAAGTTGCCAAAGTTGTGCTGTGACCCTGCCAGAGTTTTCAATTTCACTGTTTTTTTTCCTCGCAGAGAATATGCAACTGAAGTGGACATTTCCAGCCGCCTCAACATGAACCTGGGTCTGGGCATTGCGTTCTTCCAGGGGCTCTCCAACGTGGCACTGAACAGTGAGTAGAAGCTCTGTTGCATCGGCTGTGTTGGACGCCTCCCAGGGCACAGTTGGCAGGGCATCTAGGACGTTTCAGGATAGACTCCGTGTCCAGTCTGTTTTAGATGAATGTCTTATATGTGGGCAGCTATATTTTTTTTTCAAAAAAGTTTTTATTTTTATTTCTCATAAACATATTTAAATGTACAATCTTTTATCCATCATTTTCCATTCATCTTTTAACTTTCATTTTTAGTTGTTTGGGGCTGCTCTTTTACTATTTACCCTTCTTTACTTTGCCACCTTTTCTTCTTCTCCTCCCCTTCTCTTCCTTCCTTTATCTGTTCCCACTTCCTTCGTTCTTCCTCTCCTTCTCTTTCTTATTTCCCCTTCCCTTCCCTCACTCCTCTCTTCTTCCCCCCTTTCTGACCCTCTCTTCTACTCCTCTTTCCCCTCCCTTTTCTTCCTCTCCTTTTCCCTTCTATCTCTCCCTCTCCTCTCCTCTCTTCTCCCTTCCTCTCTCTTAACTCCTTTCCCTCTCTCTTGTTGTTTCCCTTTTCAATTCCATCTAGAATGGTATTCGAGCAGCCCCGATTTTGTATTTACATCTATTTCTCATTTCAATTTCTTATTTATTTAATAATTACATCTATTTCATCATTTGTGTACATTTTGATAATATTCTCACTTTTTCCCTTTTCCCCCCCCCCCCCTTTCCCTTTTTCCCTTTATCTAGGCATCATCTGGGTTTCTATTCTTCTAATTATTTTTTCCATCTTTTCCCTATTTTATCTCCATACCTTTATTCATATTTTTTTTCTAACCAATCGTAAAATTTACCCCACATCTTGAAATACATCGACTCCTCTTTATCTTTTATTCTCAGTGTTAGTCTGTTCATTTCTGCACATTGTAAAATTTTCTTTATAATTTCTCCTTCCAACGGGATTTTATTTGCTTTCCAATTTTGTGCAAATACAATTCTGGCCGCTGTTGTTATATGAATAATCAAATATGTATCTTCTTTACTATTATTTTCTGGTAAATATTCCCAATAGAAATACCTCTGGTCTTAACTCTATATGTTGCTGCAGCATTCCCTCTAACCACGTCTGTATTTTCACCCAATAATACTTTGCTTCTTTGCATGACTACCTCATATGATAATATGATCCCGGCAATTGATGACATTTCCAACAGCTATATACAGGTAGACCTAGACTTACGACCACAACTGAGCCCAAAATTTCTGTTGTTAAGTGAGTTTTGCCCCATTCTACGACCTTTCTTGTCCCAGTGCTTAAGTGAACCGCTGCAGTTGCTAAGCTAGTAACCGAGTTGTTAAGTGAATCTGGCTTCCCACCTGGACCTCGCTTGTCAGAAGGTCGCCTGACCTCGGGACACAGCAATGGTCATAAATATGAACCAGTGACCAAGTGTCTGAATTTTCATCACATGACCACAGGGATGCTGCAAAGGTCCCAAGTGTGAAAAACGGTTCTAAGTCACTTTTTTCAATGCCATTGTAACTTTGAACAGTCGCTAAATAAAGTGTTGTAAATCAAGGACTACCTCTAAATCAAAGTTCCCCAACCTTTCTGGGTTGGCGGCCCGGAGCAGGGGGAAAGGGAATGATTTAGTGGTAGGGGGCAAGTGCATGTGCATGTGTGCACATGAGAACCCGCGACATTGTTGGTGGGGCTCACATGAGTGGGGCTATGTGTGCCCAGGATGAGGCTCGTGCAAGTGGCTGCGAGTGCCCGAGATGACACTCGTGCATGTTGTGTGCGTGCAGAGATGATGCACTGACCAGCCACTCATGTGACACAGCGGTGATTAGCCTGGGGCCTGGTAGTGGGCCGTGGCGCACAGGTTGCGGACCCCTGCTCTAAATGGTTGACGTAAATCAGGGGTCCCCAACACCGGAGACGCAGCCCAGTACTGGGGCATAGCATGTTCAAAACCGGGTCGCAGAAGACATGGGCAAAGGGTTGTGCGTGTGAGATTCCACGCATCCCTTGCTCTCTCACGTGAAGCTCCACACAAATAGAGTTGTGCACACACGCTCGCTTGCCTAACGCATATGTGGAATCATCCCCTCCACAAAACCAGAAACTTTGGGGAAGTTTGTCCTACAGCCGTGTTGTTTTCCTTCCTAGGTATTGTGCTCGGCACCATCTTTGTAGGCGGCTCCCTCATGGCTGGACAAGAGATGACACCTGGCGACCTCATGTCGTTTTTGGTGTCCTCCCAGACCGTACAACGGTAAGACCGTCCCCATCCCATCCCATCTGCTGACACTGGGCTGGCTGGCTGGCCCTTGAGAGCCAACTGCTTCTCTTTCTCTATAGCTCCATGGCCAGCATGACGGTGCTCTTTGGACAGGTAGGTGGGCTGGGGAGATGCTTGGCAACATTATTCAGGTAGTCCTCGATTTACAACAGTTCATTTAGTGACTGTTGCAATGTCCCGGGGTCAACAGCCCTGAAAAAAATATTTTTTTCACATGACCGTTGCAGCATTCCCATGGTTGCATAATTATCTTCGGAAGCTTGACACCCGGTTCATATTTATGAATATCGCAGTGTTCCAGGGCCCTGTGATCCCCTTTGGTGACCTTAGTCCAAGGGCAAGCCCAATTCCCTTAACAACCCTGTGGCCAAGTTAAAATCTGAAGCGATTCACTGAAGAAATTTGTTGAAATGGGGCAAAGATTGCTTAAGGAATGTCTCAATGTAAATTTGGGGTGGCGTTGTGGTCGCAAAGTTGAGGACTGCCTATATGTATGGTGTTTGCTGGTGTTTCCCAGGAGGGCCTGGGAACGAAACAGCTCGTACCTTGAGACCCCTCTCTTCACTCCTGCAGGTCTTACGGGGCATGAGTGCTGGGGCTCGCGTGTTTGAGTTCATGAACATGTCGCCAGAGACCCCTCTGTGCGAGAGACAAATGCTCACCTGCAGCATGCTGAATGGGCATCTTGAGTTCCGGGATGTGACCTTCAGGTGAAACTCAAAGCCAAAAGGTTCAGGGGTTGTGAGGGGAGATAAAAATGGGCTATGAAAAATATCTTAGGCCAGGGCTCTCAACCTTTGTGGGCGGGCAGTGGAAGGAGGGAGAGAAAATGGTTTCATGCGAGTTGTCGCCACTAGCACAAATGGAGCTTCACTTGCGCACGAGTACCCACCACTCAAATGCAGCTGTGTGTGTGAGTACCCGCCACTCACACAAATGGAGCTGTGCGCACGAGCCCACTCAGCTCCAGCTCGTGCAACCCGGTTGCGAACAGACCATGGCAGAGAAGGGAGGGGAAGGCAGGAAGGAGGAAAGGAGATAGAAGGAAGATGTAAGGAATGGGAGAAGGAAGGAAGGAAGGAAAGGAAAGGAAAGGAAGGAAGGAGAAAGAAGGAAGTCTAACCCCCTGCTCAAGCAGAAGATCCTTACAGAATCATCTAGTCCAGCTCCCTGTTCAAGCAATCTATCAGAATAGAGGCGGAAGGGACCTCGGAGGTTCTTTTAGTCCAGGAATCCCCAACCCTTGGGAAATGGACCAGTTTCCGGGCCCTGGCCTATTTGGAACCGGGCCGTAGAAGCAACAGAGAAGTTGTCTTCCACGAAACCCGTCCCAGGGGCGAGAAAGATTGGGGGGGGGGGGAATCGCTGCTTTACCCAGAAGCGGGGAGGTGGGCCTCCACTGTCACCCCTAGCCCTGTTGACCTCTTTTTTAATATCCTCCCCTCCCTCCCTCCCTGTTCTTAGTTATCCCACCCGGCCGGGCTACAAAGTCCTGGAGAACTTCAACCTCTCCATTCCCGCTAACAAGACGGTGGCCATCGTGGGACAATCTGGTGGTGGTAAGGCTCCCTCCCTCCTTTGAGAGGGGGGCTGGATTCTCGGGGTGGGTGGCACCGGGTCTTTGGAATTTGGCATAGTGGCGAAGGATACTTCTTTTTTTAAAAAAATACAGTTGCAAGAAAAAGTATGTGAACCCCTTGGGATTACGTGGAGTTTTGCATGAATTGGTCATAAAATGTGCTCTGAACTTTATCTAAGTCACAACAATAGAAAAACACAGCTTAAAATAATACTACACAAACATTAGATGTTGCCATGGTTTAATGGAACATAACACGGAAACATTCACAGTGCAGGCAGGAAAAAGTATGTGAACCTTTGGACTTAATAACTGGTTGACCCTCCTTTGGCAGCAATAATCTCAACCAAATGTTTCCTGTAATTGCAGATCAGATCTGCACAACGATCTGGAGTAATTTTGTACCACTCCTCTTCACAAAACTGTTTCAGTGTAGCAATATTCTTGGGATATCTGGTGTGAATCGCTCTCTTAAGGTCATGCCGCAGCATTTCAATCGGGTTGAAGTCAGGACTCTGACTGGGCCACTCCAGAAGGCGTATTCTGTGCTGTTGATTTTTTTGTTGAATTACTTGTATGCTTTGAGTCATCACCCATCCTCTGCGGAGCTTCAGTTGGCGGACAGATGGTCGTACGTTTTCCTGCAAAATGTCTTGATAAACTCTGGAATTCATTTTCCCATCAATGACAACAATCCGTCCAGGCCCTGAGGCAGCAAAGCAGCCCCAAACCATGATGCTCCCTCCGCCATGTTTTACAGTGGGGATGAGGTTTTGATGTTGGTGTGCTGTGCCTTTTTTTCTCCACACATAGTGTTGTGTGTTCTTCCCAAACAACTCAATTTTGGTTTCATCTGTCCACAGTATATTTTGCCAGTAGTGCTGTGGAACATCCAGGTGCTCTTTTGCAAACTTCAAACATGCTGCAATATTTTTTTTGGACAGCAATGGTCTGTGGTGTCCTCCCATGTACTCCATTCTTGTTTAATGTTTTCCTTACTATAGATGTGTCAACAAAAATGTTAGCATGTGCCAGAGATTTCTGTAGGTCTTTAGCTGACACTCTAAGTCATTTTTACAGGACGACCACACCTAGGGAGAGTAGCAACAGTGCTAAACTTTCTCCATTTGTAGACAGTCTGTCTTACCGTGGACACATGAACATCAAGGCTTTTGGATATACTTTTGTAACCCTTTCCAGCTTCATGCAAGTCAACAATTCTTTTTTTTTTTTTAATTGAAAAAGTTTTCAAATACAAATTTTTCCCCCTTTTTTTCCCCCTCTCCCTCCCCCTCCCTAACCCCCCCTCCCCACCCATCCCCCCGTGACTTCTTCATAACAAAAAAAAAACCTAATTCATAACAGATTACTTACTCCCTCCTCTAGATATTGACCTTTACTTACTAAAAATATTATTAATATTATAACATCCCCCTTTATCCATACATTTCAGAAAAGAGAAAAGAAAGGGAAAAAAAAAGACATTATACTATGACATTATAGAATAACTTCTCCACTTTAAAACTATACGATAAGTCCTACTTTAACATTTAATCTTCTATATATATTACTATAACATTTCAAAGCGGCCTTCCCCATAAAATCTAGTTTAACATTTATTCCACTCTATCCATTTCCTCCACTCCCCTAAATATATCACTTAAAAATCCCTTTTCTTAGACTAATCAATCTACTAACTAGCTTATTCACCCACTATCATGCAAAATTACCATACACAACATTTCTTAATATCTTTGATTCACTGCCCACACTACTTAAAAATATATGTCTATATTTTCCATTATATCTAAATAAAAAAAAGGAAAAGACAATGACTTTAAATTTATAATCCATATAGTATCTTCTTTGAGGTCTTTCCACTGGATTGGTAGAACCAACATCCATAATCGGGTAACATAGCTTGCTGGTGCAACAGTTTATTCAGGATCTTCAATCATATCTTAACTCATTCACCAGAAAACCAAATTTCTTCCTTTCCATCAATATCTTAGGTGGGAGTTCCTTGTAAATCCAAATCTTTCTTCCATACAATTGCAAATTAGAATTGAAGGAATTTTGCACGATATTATTCCTAATTTCTTTATCTGTAAAATAAATCACCACATCTCTAGGCAATTGCCTTTGCTTGGCAATCCAGGAGTTGATTCGATAAACTCTGTCAATCCTACAAAACACTTCGTCAGGTTGAACCTTTAGAATCCCAGCTAGAAATTCAGAAGATATTTTCCTTAAATCATCTCTATTATTTTCCGGCAAACCTCTTAATCTTATCGCATATTCTGTGAAGTTGTATTGTACCATTAAAATCTCTTTTTCAATCTTCTGTTGCAGATTTTCTGCATTACCATACTTTTGATCAGCGTCCATTTTAGGTTTTTCTTCTAAGCTATTATCCTGAGTGTTTGTCAAATCATTTTCAATTTTTTGAATTCTATTGTCCAATTTATCTTGAATTTCTTCCATTTTAGACTCTAGTACATTAGTATTTGTGTCCAACTGTATCATAAATTCTGTAAAGCCATTAGCCACTTTTGAGAATTTTTTCTCCAAAGAATCAAACTTAGATTTCACCAATTCTTTAATTTCCTGCTTAAATTTTTCAAGTTGCTGATTCACAATCTCCTCCCTTCTTTCAATCTCCTCTATAAAAAATTCTATTATATTAAAATCAGGTTTCTGAGACTGAAGAGTTAAGACTTGTTCCTTTAAGTTGTTGGTGGGGGGATCCCCCCCCCTTCTTGTTTATCTGACTTTATGAGTCTCAGTGCCATGTTTCCGCCCAGGCAGGCTTTGTTAAAAAAAAAAGCAAGAAAAAAAAAAAGGGGGGGACTTCTTTCCAATCAACAACAATATCAAGTCTCCAAGGGAAGAAAAAGAGAAAAAGACACAGGAGCGAAGTTTTGTCTACAAATGTAGCCAGTGGTATTTATTCCGCTACATTGTAGTAATAGAAAACGGAAGGACTTTCCCTTTCAGTCTCTCCTCCAGCCGACGCCATTTTAAAAGACTTTTTTTCCTCTTTCTTTTCCTCCTCTCTCTTAAGTAATTTTTTTAAAAAATCAGTAAAATACTTGCGGTTCAGTATTACAGGTCCAGCTCACATTTTCTTTGAGTAGTCTGTTAAATTTGCAGGCTTGCTTTTGACGCCTGGCTCTGCATCAGCAGAGGTCTCCCAAAGCTCGGAGCAGCGGCTGGGGATACGGGGCATCTCATCCGCTCCGTCCCAAAAGTAAAGGAAAAACTTTTGGGACTCCGCAGAGAGTTCTACCCACCCCTGCCGGCTCTATCTCCGTTTCCTCATGGAAACGGAGTTTTTTCGAGCCGCCATTCCGTTGTGAAGGCGGCTCTGACAGGCGATGGAAGCTGACGATCCCAAAGGAACGTCTGGCAGCGACAAACAGCAAACCGGAAGTCGACAATTCTTGATCGTAGGTCTTCTGAGAGCTCTTTTCTGCGAGGCATGGTTCACATCAGGCAGTGCTTCTTGAAAGCAGTAAACCCAAAACAGGTGTTTGTTTTTAAAGGGCAGGACAGCTGTCAGCAACACATCCAATATCTTCACACTGATTGGAGTCAAGGTTGGCTCACTCCTGGCTCCAATTAGCTCTTGGAGAAGTCATTAGGCTAGGGGCTCACATACCTTTTCCTCCCTGCACTGTGAATGTTTCCACGTTATGTTCAGTTAAACCATGGCAACATCTAATGTTTGTGTAGTATTATTTTAAGCAGACTGTGTTTTTCTATTGTTGTGATTTAGATGAAGTTCAGAGCACATTTTATGACCAATTCATGCAAAACTCCACGTAATCCCAAGGGGTTCACATACTTTTTCTTGCAACTGTAAGTGGGACCTCCGGTGCGTGACTCAGTTGTTCTGTGTGTGGGGGGGTGGGGGGGAGGGATATTCTGATCCCTCCACTGATCCTTATCCCAATCTCATTCATTGTCCTCTCCATGTTTGCTTCCTTTCTTCCCTGGGATTGATTCCTTTGCTGAGCGTGGAGTTGCATTCCCCCCGCCCCCCCCCCCCATGCAGTGAAAGTGAACTTCCTCCAGCAAATGCAGTGATTGACTGAAAGGATCCATCCTCTTCCTCCTCCTCCCATCCATCCATCCATCCATCCATCCATCCATCCATCCATCCATCTATCTATCTATCTATCTATCTATCTATCTATCTATCTATCTATCTATCTATCTATTTATCTAATAATCTCCTCCTTCTCCTCCTCCTCTTTCACATACATCCACCCATCTAGTTTCTGCTCCTCTTCCTCCTTCTCCTCCTCCATCCATTCATTTTCCATTCCTCCTCCTCTCCCTTCATTTCCTCCCCCTTTCGTTCCTCCTCCTGTTCTTCTGTTGTGACCCAGGCCCAAGTAGTTAGTATTAAACGCAAACAGTTCGAAAACAAACAGACTTTATTAGAAAAGCTGAGAACTAACTCCTCAGTGTAGTCCAAACTAAATCAAACAAAGTCTTCATAAAGTCTTATCACCAACATTGGTATAATTAGGCAAACTGCCAAAGGCTTCTCTTGGCAAAAGTTCAGAAGCAGAGGATGCCGAGCAAGATAAGAACCAAGTTTATCAATGTTGTTTTCCAACAGAAAACGCAAGAGCCCTTGCTGACCTTTTAAGCCTTATGGGAGGGGCCAGCCATCTCTTGGCCCTACTCCCGAGTCGTCCTCTTTGCTTGAGCTGCTCTTGCCTTCTGGCAGCTCTTCTCATGCGTGCACTAGGAACAGGCTCCTCCTCTTCCTCTGCCTCTCTGCTGTCAGCCTCTGGAGGCTCCGGAGTTCACACCTCACTCCCCGATGGCCCTGGCCCCATCTCTGCCTCTGACGCAGAGCCCTCGTCCGGGCCTTCCCCAGCCTCCAGGACTGGCCCCTGTTCTACCTCAGCCTCATCACTGTCTGAGTCTGCTGCCAGCTCCGCAGGCTGCTGTTGGACCACAACATCTTTCTCCAAATACGGGCCCTTTGGACCAGAGGTGGGATTCAGCCAGATTCTCTCTGGTTCGGGCGAACTGGTAGTGGCGATTGCGGAAGGCTCCATCCACCCGCCTGGACGGAATGCACGAGCACTGCGCATGCACATAAGACCATGAGTATGTGCAGATGCGGCACGTGCGAGCGAAGCGAGGACACACACACGCACGCACGCTCAGATTTGCGAATTGATAGGGAAGGTAAGTGAATCTCACCTCTACTTTGGACCATGTCCAACCCGGTGTCTTATCTTTCTCTCCGTCTCTCTCTCTCCATGCTTCAGGAAAGTCCACCGTGGCGGCTCTGATGGAGCGCTTCTACGAACCCACCAAGGGGGCCATCTTTCTGGACGGGCGGGATATTTGCACCCTGGACGCTTCCTGGCTCCGAGGGGAAGTCATCGGCTTCATTAACCAGGTACGAAGTCAGGAAGCCCAGAATCGGAAGCAGAAGCAGCCCACTCGTATGGATGACGGTTGCAGTGTCACCTGAGTTCACCTGATCAAAATCCAGACGCTCGGCAACCGACTCGCATTTACAGCGGTCGCAGCGTGCCAGGCTCAGTCAAGCTTCCATTGGGCAAAGCCAAGGGGGAAGGCTGGTTTTCTTAACGACCGCTGGGCTGCGATTCGCTTCACGGACGCGTGACTAGGTTCGTGTCAGCGATTCACTTAACCGCCATAGTGAGAAAAGTCGTACAATGGAATGACGCTCTGTTAACAAACGTCTCATGCAGTGACAGACGGTTGTCTCGGGATCTCTCTGTGCTGGAGTTGGGCTGGCCCTAATACACACACACACACACACAGACACAGACACACACACACTTGCCTCTGTTTCAGGAGCCCGTGCTCTTCAGCACCACCATCATGGAGAACATCCGTTTCGGCAAGCCCTGTGCCTCGGATTCTGAGATTTATGCGGCTGCCCGGCTGGCCAATGCCGACGAGTTTATCCGCAGCTTTCCGGATGGATACAACACGACTGTGGGTGAGGACAGCATCTGGCAGTTCAGGGGGCTTTCCTTCCTTCCTTCCTTCCTTCCGTCCTTCCTTCCTTCCTTCCTTCCTTCCTTCCTCCCTCCCTCCCTCCCTCCCTCCCTCCCATTTCCTTCCTTCTTTCTCTCCTTCCCTCCCCTTCCTTCCTTTATCACTCTCTCCAAACCATTTTCTTCCGCCCTCCCTCCTTCCTCCTCCTTCCCATTTCCTTCCATCTTTCCTTCCCTCCCCTCCCTTCATCAATTTTCTTCCTTCACACCCACTTCCTCCCTCTTTCCTTGCTTCCTTTCTCTTCCCTCTCCTCTCCCTCTTTCTTTCGTCTTCCTCCGTCCGTCCGTCCGTCTCTCCCTTCCTTCTCTCCTCTTTTTCCTTTCCCCTGTTTCCTTTCCTCTCCCTTTTTTACCTAAACCACACTGATTGCTTTTTGCAGATCAGTTTTGGAATTCGGGTCCACGTACGCTGTCACACAAAACGTGGAACTCCCGGCCTGCAATGCTTCGTCCCGTGCAAACCCCCCCCCCCCTTCTCATATCGGCCTCTCCCTCTTTTCCCCCCACCCAGGCGAGCGTGGCGTGACTCTGTCGGCAGGACAGAAGCAACGGGTGGCCATCGCCCGGGCGTTGATCAAGAACCCCAAAGTCCTCATCCTGGATGAGGCCACCAGCGCCTTGGATGCCGAGTCGGAGCACGTGGTCCAGGAGGCCTTGAACCGGGCCGTGGCCGGCCGCACCGTGCTGGTCATCGCCCACCGGCTCAGCACCGTCAAGGAGGCCTCGCTCATCGTGGTGCTGTCCAAGGGCCGCGTGGCAGAGGTGAGTGCCAAGGCTGAGAACGCATGCGCTAGAAGAAGCAATGGACTTTCAACAATTCATTTAGTGACCGCTAAAAGTCACTACGGCACTGAAAAAAAGGACCTTTTCCTGCACTTAACGACCATCTCAGCATCCTTGAGGTCACGTGATCAATATCCAGATGTTCGGCAGCTGACTCGTATTTGGGGTGGTCACAGCGTCCCAGGGTTCACATGGTTCCCTCCCATTTGCGACCTCCCGACAAGGAAAGTCAAAGGGGTGGAGCCCAATTCACTTCATGTGAATACCGAGTAAACAATTTCATGGATTCGCTTAACAACGATGGTGAGAAAGGTCGTAAAATGGGGCAAAATTCATTTCATGAGTGACTGCTAACCGTTTTTCACCCTTAACCAATGTTCGGCATCCCTGTGGTCAGGTGATTTACATTCGGGTGCTTCTATCCCCTGCTCGAACAGGAGACCCTGACGGAATCATAGAATCCCAGAGTTGGAGGGGACCTCAGAGGTCCTCTAGTTCAACCCCCTCCTCGAGCAAGAGACCCTGTTGGCTGAGCCTTCTTAGGTTCCAATTAAAACTAGGATTAAGGCCTGCCACCTGTTGCAGCTGAGCATTTTCTCGCTGGGTGTCTCTCTTCACAAATAAAACAGTGTTCTAGTGCGGCGGTCCGAACCTTTCTGGCTTTGCTGTCCAGTGATGGCAGCTGCAGGGATGGAGATGGAGACAGGATGTTTCTGTGTAAGCAGTGGGTTCACACGCGAGCACATGCAGCTCCATTTGCCCAGTTGGCGGGTGCGCACAAATGGAGCTTCCTGCCGCTTATGCGGTCCAGTTTCCAAACGGGCCATGGTCCGGTATCGATCCACAACCCGGAAATTGGGGACCCCTGTTCTAGTGGGTGTTTAGCGTGCACAAATGGAGCTTCCTGTTGCATAGGCAGCCCGGTTTCCAAACAGGCCGCGGCCCGGCACCAATCCACAATCCGGGAGTTGGGGAGCTGTTTAAAGGGACACTGACGCTGTTGGTGACACCGTCAGCTCCCCGTTCAGCTCAACCAAACGAGAAATAAGTCTCGATTGTCGGTGGTGGGAGGGTCCCTTCAATGCTGGGCTTGTGAATCCAAGAAATTGTTTGCAAGCTTTTCAAATTCGGCTTCCCAAGACCTGCATGTTTTTTTCCCTTTTCCAGGCCGGGACCCATTCGGAGCTCTTACGAAAAGGTGGCATCTACGCAGAGCTTTTCCGCCGGCAAGCCAAGGACATCTGAAGGAGGAGGCCACAGCAGTCAGTTTGCCGGATTCCCCCCCTTTTTTTCCCCCTCTGCCCTCTTTCGCTCGGCCTCCAGCCCCTCCCGAGGTGGTTGCTCGGGAAAGGCCCAGAGCCCGTTGCTCTGGGATGCTCTGTTGTCGGTTTCAGGGAACACGGCTTTCCTCTTTCCCGGCGGGGAAGGAAGCTGCGTGCAATTTGACACTTGAGGTTTTTTTTTTTTTCAAATACAGCCTTTTTGGGTTTGGACCAGCAGTGTGTCGCCTTTGTTTTACGTGTGTGTGTATGTGTCCAAGTCATGCTTTTAAAGGAACGCCGGCTACAGCAAGGCAGATATATTGGTGGGCAGCAGAGTGCTGAAATTTTGAGGCTGGGATGGCCGGGCTTCCGATCTCTACCCACTGCATTCAAGAGACTTCAAGCCCACTATACCAGGAGTGTCACAAACTGAAGGATTCGGCCCGCGGGGTGTTTAAATCTGGCCTTTGGGGCTAGCCTGGAAATAGCAAAAGACCGGCCTGTGGTGCCTCTGGCAGCGAAAACGGGGGTGGGAATGGGCACAGGTGGCCCCTGCGTGGCCTATTTTCAGCCTAGACGGCCTCCTGAAGCACTTTGTTGGCCAAAAGGGGGCGTGGAGGAGAACTACAATGCTGATCCGGCCCTCGAAGAAATCCAGTTTGACACCCTTGCCCTACACGGATGGTCCTTGATTTACAACATTGGTATAATGACCATTCGAAGTCATAATGGCACTAGGAAGGGGAAAAAAAGGGGACTTCGGACTGTTGCAGTGTCCCTGCCGTCGTGCAATCCAAATGTGAATGCTTGGCAATGGACTCCTATTTGTGACGGTGGCAGTGGTCTGGGCTCAGGCAATCTCCTTTTGCGACCCTCTGACAAGCAAAGTCAACGGGTCTTGAATCCGCGTAGATGCTCTTCTCCAAAGTCTGAGCATCTTTTTTGTAACGTCGGGACCCAAACCGGATGCCGTATTCCAGGTGTGGCCTTAGGTGGCGGGAAACCCTGGCTAAAGACCGTCCTGTCGCAAACCGTAAAGACTCTTTAGGCCATCCCGCCCACACTTAGCAAGCTTTGTGGCAAAAGGCCACGCAGAACCCTTGTGGACTGCTTTGCGGGAATCAAAGATATATTACATCTGTAAGCATACATACCTCCCATCTATTAACTAGCCAGAAATGAGATAATTTGGCAAGATATGACCAATTCACAACACATACAATCATGTTTTCAAAGTACCGTATTTTTCGGAGTATAAGACGCACCTTAGTTTTTGGGGAGTAAATATGGGGGGCTGGGAATTCTGCCTCTGCCTAACAGGTATTCATCTGGCTAGCATTCTAACCCTGGTCAGCTTCAGCACATTAGTTCGCTGGTTGTGAGTACGATACCTTGGAGTATCAGGCCTCCAAGTAACATGTCCCCAATGAGAACAATCCAAGGCAGCCATATTCCAACCAAGTCTTTTTATTAGGAACAAAATCAAATTGGCAAGGTGTAATTCCGGCTCTGGCAACCTCCGGGATTACACCCCATATATATATTGGGTGTATATCTATATATATATGGAACCCCCCATGATTTTGTTAGAAGGATTTTGTTAGATCCTTCTGCGCTACCAGGAGCCCTGGTAGCGCAGCAGACTAAAGCACTGTTATTAAGATCAGCTGCCTGCAATTACTGCAGGTTCGAATCTCACCAAGACTCAAGGTTGACTCAGCCTTCCATCCTTTCTAAGGTAGGTAAATTGAGGACCCAGATTGTGGGGGCAATAAGCTGACTTTGTATAAATATACAAAAGGATGAAGGCTATTGCTTAACGCACTGTAAGCCGCCCTGAGTCTCCGGAGAAGGGCGGCATATAAATCAAATTAAAAAAAAAAAACATGAAAATGTCACCCGGCTTGCTTCTGTGCCTAGGGCAGGACTAGAACTCGCTCCCTCCTGCATCTCCAAAAGCCCAACACAACCATCTCAAGGGCCTGGCCGGCAAGTTCAAGAGCTCTAAATACTTACTTGAGGTTCTGTTCGGCGATTTCCCCGTGGTTCAGGAAATTGGTTGAATAACTTTGGATATGGTGTCACAGCAGGCTGGCCAAAACCAGCAGCACCACCACGCTGACAACTATGCCCAGAATCCACTTCCAGCTGGACATGGCTCCTGCTGGCCCAGGAAGATGGGTTGCGTAGTCGTGCCAGAGACCCCTGCCACTCCTGTTTTTCAGCTCCTGCCTCTAGGCAGATCTGGCTTGGGGGAATCGGGCATGAAAGAGGCAGGCGTGTTGGAACAACAGCCTGCCTTTGGATGGAACTGGGATGGGCCGATCGAGGAAATGGTTTTGTTTGCTTCCTGAGAACTGCTTTCCCCCGGAAGTTCCAACGGGTGCTCCAGCAGTGGAGGATTTCAAGAAGAGACCGGGCCTGCGTTTGTCTGGAATGGTAAAGGAAAAGGCTCTCCTGCTCGAGCAGGGGGTTGGACTAGAAGACCTCCAAGAACCCCATGGAGGTCCCTCCCAGGCCCTCCCGCTGCCCTCCCCCCACCTCAAGACCCTCCTTGTCTCCCCGCCCGTACCTCCCCCCCATCCCAAGGTCTGCCCACCCTCCCATGTTACCCCACTGCCCCCCGGATCCCTCACATTGCTCCCCATACCTGCCCCCACCCCAGGTCCCTGGTTACCCCTCGCCCCGGTCCCACAGGTGCCCCCCTCCCCGTACCTCATCCCAGGAAGGACCCTGCAGCTGGTCTCCTGTCCCACAGGCCAAGTGAGCAGAGAAGCCACGGGACTCTTGCATGCAGCCGGACAGGCGTACACCGGACAGGCATTCACGCCTGGAAGATGTAGATTCCTCCCGACCTGTAGATTTATTTGGTGACCATCATCCCGAGGGGTTTCCTTGCTCTTTGATCGGACCAGTGAGATGCTAATCTATGGGTTAGGATTATGTCCCGAAGGTGTTTTTTTCCCAAAAGGCAACTGCACTTTGTTTTTCACTGAAGGGCTTTCGCTTCTTACCCAAGCAGCTTCTTCTGTTCTGACTGAACGATGGAAGATGGAAGGATTTATATTCTTTGCAGTCATCTGGTTGTTGTTACTCTCTCTGAGAGGCGTTGGGGCCACTTGGTAGTTTATCTGTGTCCTCAGGGTCACCTGAATAGTGCAAATGGGTGTGGAGACATCTTGGAACTGCTGAGAAAACTGTGTTGTAAACACGAGATATGTGGTGTCCATACGTTGCAGGAATATTTGAAAAGCTCAGGAGGATTTATAACCAACACAATATACATACACACTTGAACCCCCCAAAATACAGGAAGGCAGAAGCTTGTCCATCTAGATAAAACACCCAGATGCCAACCGAGGAATATGGTATATGCTGAATAGCGCAGTGCGAAATGTACAAATCCATACATTGGGGAAGCAAAACAACCACTTCACAAACACGTGGCGCAACATAGGAGAACAAACCCATCAGGATGAGATTTGGCAGTTCACCTGCATTGGAAAGACCGAGGCTTCAATCCATCAGAATCAAGCTGGAAGGGACCGTGGAGGTCTTCTAGTCCAACCCCCTGCTCAAGCAGGAGACCCTCTGCCATTTCAGCCAACTGACTGTCCAAACCCTGCAGTGATGAAGCACCCGCAATTTCTGGTGGCAAGCTGTTCCAATGGTTAATTGTCCTCCGTCAGGAAGTTCCCACTTAATTCCAGGTTGCTTCTCTCCTTGATTCATTTCCATTCATTTCTTCCTGTCCTGCCTTTGGGTGCTTTGAAAAATAAGTAGACCCCCAGTTGCCTTTTGGAAAAAGCCCCTTTGGGGGACAATCCTAACCCTTCGACTAACATCTCACTGGTCCCTTTGAAAACCATGAAACCCCTCGGATTAAGATTGCCAGATTCCCACATAATACATTTACAAGTAGAGAGGAATCTACATATCTTCCTTTCTGGATTTCACACGTGCCAGGGTGGCAATGTCTTAAATCAGCACATCTGCATGGGAAGGAGACACGAACCAAGGACTGGTCTCCTCCTCATAAAACTGAATCTCTGCAACATGTTTTCTTGTAGTCTACCCCCCCAAAATAAGTTGCTTCCTTATTTTGCACAGCACATCTGGAGTTCACATTTTTTATTTGTTCTTGCATGGAAGCCCCGAATGATCCTTTGAATCAAATAAATCAATGAAAATGTCACCTGGATGGCTTCCGTGCCTAGGGCAGGACTAGAACTCGCTCCCTCCTGCACCTCCAAAAGCCAACATAACGGTCGTGAGGGCCACAGGGCTTGACCAGTGATTTGAAGAGCTCCAAATACTTGAAGTTCTGTTCAAATTAGCAATTTACCCCTGGTTTGTGGGATCGGTTGAATTTTTTTCGATATGCTGTCCCATGAGGATTGCCGCGGTCACCACCGCCACCAGGATCACGATTATGGCCAGAATCCACTTCCAGTTTGCCGTAGCTCCCAATGGCCCAGGAAAAGGGGTTGCGTAGTTGTGCCAGAGATTGTGGCAGCTCCCAGTTTTCAGCTCCTGCCTCTAGGCATATCTGGCTCAGGGGGTGGTGGAAATTGGGCATGAAAGAGGCAGGCGTGTCGGAACAAGGCCTGCCTTTTGATGGACTGGGATGGGCCAATCGAGGAAACGGTTTGTTTGCTTTCCTGAGAACTGTTACAGTCTGCTGAACTGTTTACCTCCGGAAGTTGTGGGTGCTCCAACACCGGGGGATTCCAAAAAGAGACTGGACAGCCTTTTGTCTGGAATGGTAAGCAGCGGGTTGGACTAAATGACCTCCAAGGTCCCTTCCAACTCTGTGATTCTGGAATTCTGTAAGGGCCTCCTGCTCGAGCAGGGATGGACTAGATGACCTCCAAGGTACCTTCCAAACTCTTCCGTATTCTGATTCTGCCAACTGGGCAGGGAAGCTTCTTGGACCTCTCCTGCAGGAGAGAAACTCTCCTGCTCCCAAGAGGCAACTCCCAAGATGGGGTTTGGATCCGTGTCCCAGCCAGTCCCTTCCCCCGCAAAAGCCTCCATCCGACAGGATGTCGAATTTGTTGCATCACAAATTTGTGATGGTCAGTAAAGGAATGGCCGAGGGCACAATGTTGCCGCTGCGGCGTGCGTAACAACCACTGGCAACAAATGGTGGCGCGCGACTTACGTGCTGCTTACAAGAAAGTTACAACTTGGACGGGGAGTAGCCAAGACATGTAGCTATATAAGCTTTG